TATATATCCGTGCAGAGCAGAGGTCAGCTGATCAGCTGCAGGAGGAAGCCTTTCCCACAGCTGTGGGCTGCAAACAGGTGCTAAATCATTTAAAATAACTTATCTTAAATTAAAATTCCATGCCAATCATGCGGCTCATCCATCAGTCAGCCAATTGTGTGTCTTGTCCAATCTTACTTTGAAAAACCATGATAGAGTGAGTCTGCAAAATAATGAACCGCGAAGTAGCGAGGTACTACTGTATACAAACCAAACATACAAACATATGGTTCTTAAACATTTTAGATCAAATTAAATGTGGCAACAACTTGTGACTCCGACCAGTAGTTAAAGAAAAACCTATAGTGTAATGACAACATAAACAGCCTAAACTATCCTATTTTTATTTTTTAATGATTCCAAAGTTAATCTTAAGACTCCCCCTCCCCTACAATTAATTTTTTCACAACCCACAGTGGGGCATCGGCTTACTTTAATTTACTGATTCACGCTTGCTTGATTATAAATCTGTTGTATAAACCTCTGTAGTTACAGATTTGATAACCAATTATGATAATACCTTAGATAAATAATGTTACTAATTGAATATTTATGTATGTGAATGTATTTGTTCAGTGCCCTGAGATAACTTCTGTTGGGACTTGGCGCTATATAAATGAAGTGAATCAAATTTAATTGAAATAGATGGCACAGGGAACACACGGGAGAAATGAAAGATTGATCACCTGAAACCAGTACTCTTCATTGACCACAGCTCAGCATTCAACACCATAATCCCCTCCAAGCTGGTCTCCAAGCTCACCACACCAGGCCTGGAAAAGTCCATCTGCTGCTGGATACTGGACTTCCTCACCAATAAACAACAGGCAGTGAGAATCTGCAGTCACCTCTCCTCCACACTAGTCCTCAGCACCAGTACACCTCAGTCCACTCCTGTATTCATTTACACATGGCTGTACTGCCAAGCACAGCTCTAACGTCATCCTCAAGTATGCTGATGACACCACCATCCTGGACCTCATCACCAACAACGACGAGAGTGCCTACAGAGATGAGGTGAAATCACTGACCAGCTGGTGTCAGGAAAATAACCTCTCGCTAAATGTCAGCAAAACAAAGGAGATGATAGTGGACTTCAGGAAACAACGTGGAGGCCAGCACTCCACCATCAACATAAACAAAGCTGAGGTGGAGCAAGTCAGCAGTTTCAAGTTCCTCAGAGTTCACATTACTGAGGATCTATCCTGGACTTTACAGACACTGTGGTCAAGAAAGCCCAACTCTACTTCCTAAGAAGACTAAAGTTTTGTGCGAACACCAGCATCCTCACCAACTTTTATAGGTGCACCATTGAGAGCCTGCTGACAGGCTGCATCACAGGGTGGTATGGGAACTGCACCAGTCAGAGCTGGAAAGCTCTACAGAGGGTGGTGCAAACAGCAGAGGACATCACTGGTAGAAGTCTCCACACCATCCAGGACATCTACCACAGCCAATGTCTGTGTAAAGCATGCAGCATCATTAAGGACCACACCCATCCAGCACAAGGACTCTTCCATCTACTACCCTCAGGCAGACGATACAGGAGTCTGCTATCACGTACAAAAAGACTAAAGGACAGTTATTATCCACAAGCTGTCAGATTACTGAACTCTCGATCAATAACACTGAACAATCGACAACTTTGCACCAATCCACATCTGTGACACCTAATATGACAAATACTAGTTTGTGACAGCTAATATGTTTATTGTTTATTGCTTTTGCATTATGTGGCTGTATCATGTATGTACCTTACCATCATAATTCATCTCAATGTTAATTACTACCTGTGCAATAATCTGTCACACAACCTGTGTAGTTTATGTTAGTTATGTGCAGTATACATCATGTGCATTTCAGCTTATATTACTACCTTGAAATACTTATTTATACAAAATCATCCTACTTGCACTGGTATATTCTACCATGTTGTTGATTACTATTTTCTCTTTAGGGCCTTGTAAATATTATACCGCAATTACTTTTTCAATTTTTGGTACTTTATTTTTGTACCCTTATGGCATGCTTTAGTATTTCCTGTTTGTTTGTTTTGTTTTTTTAGTGAGTCAAATCGGTTCTTCTCATCCTGGACATTTCATTGAACTGTTGGCCTTGTGTTAACCTGCATATGACAAATAAACACAACTTGAACTTGAACCACATAAACTGATTGGGATCTGAACCTAGGGAAACTAATATCTAAATGATGTAAACGAATCAGGTAAAAACATACAGTAAGTAACAGAAGACACAAGAACCTCAGACCACAGAAAGGTAGAACATATAACCATGAAGGGAATAAATCTAAAAGTAAAATCTCAGGACTACCAGTAGCTGAAATCCACAGATCCTGACACTCTTCAGTCTTTGCCCTAAACACTTGACCCCCCAGCAGAGTCCAAAACTGTCCAGGCTGGCCTTGTCTTTCAGCACGTCCTCCATGAAGCACAGCCTCTTGACTTATGTAAATTCTCCACCATTCTTCTGTCAATCATTGGATCGCTGGCTGAGAATTTCAAACCTCTGTAGCAGCAGGCACCTGACTAAATAAACTGACAAGCTGTCAAGCTGGAGGGGTGAGGGGAGGGGATCATGTTAGGCGATAAAAGTTGTATCCCACCCCTGGTACGTTTATCCCGCTGAGGTCCCAGAGCAGTGGGTCTGTGTGCCTCTGTACGCCGCTGTGTCATTAATACGAGGTGTCCCTGTGGAGCGTGCAGCGGTGGCTTAGGGTTTAATCACAGCTAGGAGGCGAGAGAACAAGCCTCAGCAGCCCCTAATCTCCTCTGTGGTTAGACACTTTGGGTCAGAGGAGCTTTGAACTTTACATCTGCTCATATCTGATCCCTCTGGGCTTTCTTTAATACCATATGTAAATGCAATAAGGATTGATGAATTAGCTCATAACAACCATTTCCTAAGATATATTATATGTCTTTGTTTAGCAACCACAATCACATTTCCCTCTCTTGCAAGTCAGTGTGATTAAAATCTTCATTAAATCAAAATTACATGCTGTCTTTTGTCTGAGTGTTATACTCATTGTGTTTTCATTAAATGATTCCTCATTGTGCCGTTCTGTCCCCAGGCTCGTGTGCCGCACTGGGAGGGCTGCATACGACAGGATGGAGTTTGTCCAAGTGGACGTGAAACAGAGTGGAACAGGAACGTCAAAGGAGAAGTTTTCATATTTAGTGAGTAATCTCCAGCCTCTGACCCTCCTGCTGCTTTCTGTTCTGCTTGTCTCTTCCTCTGCATGCTTCTTCTTTGCTCTTTTTTTCCTTCTCCCTTGTTTCCCTCTGCCGGGGAAGCCTTCCCAAGTGTCAGCTGAGTGCTAACAGATGCGTATGATTCAGAGGAACACTGCTGTGTGTGAGAATCTTCAAATGTCCATCTGAGCTAAGAGCTATTGTCATTTAGCCTTCTCTGCCAACAAAAACAAACGTGGTGATTGTTGGAACGTCCCTTTGCTCTAAATTAGCCATGGACTGAGGAAACCTAGCTAGCACGGTGTTCATTAACCCCAACCCACCTCTCTAGAGTAGGAATATTTAACCCATGGAAATACCCGTATAAGCTTTTGTTTCTCTTTGTTAACAGACAATGAGTAGTTCATACTCAGAGTTGGATCAGTCTATTTCACAACTTATATGCATGCGTCATCCCACTGAGCAATAACCCTCATCCCAGAACTTGTCTTTATAAAATAAAAACCTAGCATTCCTTGAAGGAATACATACATGTATCTCCCTCTCCATGAGAACAAACGTCAAAAAGCAGCAGCTTCCTTGTGTTTCTATAAGTTGATTAGTTTTAATCAGGTTGAGGAGGAGAACCAGGAGAGAGAAAAAACATTTCTGGAGACAGGATATGTGTCTCTGGCTGCATCTCCTTCCTCCAGATTTTGAACGGAAACATCTGCCTCCTTACAGCCACTCAGACAAGCCGAAACACAATAGGTGTGCCCCATCTCTACACACTGAGGAAGTGAATCCTGTCAGCAAGGATAAGAAGCATCCCTGGAGGTGGGGGTCATGGAGTGGATAGAAAGTTAAAAAAGCACAGGAGTGCTGATTCTGTTAGCTGCAGATTTGAGGGGGGATAATCATCTTTGCCTGAGGATTTTCCTTTTTGTGTGAATGTGTTTCCATATGTGTACGTTAGACGATGTGAACATGCTTTTTATGTAACCACAGTATGGCTGTCCGGCCTAAAGGTCTGTTGGCTTCAGCTGCAGAGTAACGTAACACAGTGTGGGCCGTCGTCACAGTTTTCTTCACTAAATTACTGTTGTAGTCAGCAGCTGTCTGAGCACATCTGTACACACTGGACATTTGAACTTCAGACGGTGAGGAGAGTGTTTAATTTAGTGCCAAGAAAAGAATCATGGAGGAAAAGCCCAGTTTGAACTAAAGAAACTGCATTTTCTGTGAAAGCGCAGTGTGAACGCTGAGTGCTGGATGACGTTGCTGAAATTTGCTGAAGAAGCTAAAACGGAGTTGTCACATCTAAAAACAGGAAACTAGCGAAAATCTAAAATGAGCTAAATTCTATCTAAAAACTGAATGTAGAAAAACTCTTGCTAAAAGCTTACTAAAAGCTAAAAGTAGCAAAGTACTAGCTAAAATTAGCAAATGTCTAACTAGAATGTAGGGGTAGCAAATGCTAACAGCTAAAAGTATCAAAGGGCTAGTAAAAAGATAAAGTAGCAAAAGTAATTTGACGTAAACGTAGCAAAAAGTTAGCTAAAAGCCAAAAGTAACAAAACACTAACTAGAAGTAGCAAAACGTTTATTAAACGCTAAAAGTAGAAACAAGCTAAAGTTGTAAAGGCTAACCAAAAGATTAAAATATCAAAGGACTAGTAAAAAGGTAAAGTAACAAAAAGTCATTTGAAGTAAAAGTAGCAAAGCAGCTAAAAAAAATCTAAAGGTAACAAAACACTAGCTAGAAGTAGCAAAAGGCTTCGTAAAATCTAAAAGTAGCAAATTGCCAGCTAAAATCCAAAAGTAGCTTGAAGCAAAAGTAACAAAAGGTTAGCTCAAAAGTTAAAGTAGTAACAAGCTAGTTAAAAGTTAAAATACCAAAAGGCTAGTTAAATATAGCAAGAAGATTTTGAAAAGTAACAATTGGCTTACTAAAAGCTAAAGATAACAAACTTGTAGTTAAAAAGAAATGTAGCAAAAAGAAGCTAAAAACTAAAAATAGAAGAATGGTGACCAAAAGCTAAAAGTAGAAGAATGGTAGCTAAAAGCTAAAGGCCAGCATATACTTTGTACACAAAATGCCTGTCTTCTCCACTGATAGAAGCTGCCATATTTTTTCTTCTTCTTTCGGCTGCTCCCTTCTTCAGGAGTCACCACAGTGAACTAAGTCGCACAAAGACTTGGCAGTTGTTTTTATGCCAGATGTCCTTCCTGACGCAACCACAGACCACGAGCTGCCACAGCCCTCTGTGTGGAGCAGAGCTGCTATCTAGGGCGCCCGGAGGAGCAGATGGTGGGGGTTAAGGGCCTTGCTCAAGGGCCCAGAGTGGGGCAAATGAAGGTGGAGGCAGGTGTGGGTGTTTCACCTTTAACACCCACATTTTGATGTTGTCGGTATCAGGAGCTGAACCGGCCATCTTCTGATCACAGGCCCACCTTCTCAAACCTCTGCGCCACCACTCCTTTCCAGATGTTTGAAGGTAAATCTGATGTTTTGTTTGTCTTGTCTGGTTAAACGCAGGTTCCAAAGCTGCTGTCCATAGAGCCCGAAAAAGGTTCCTGTGCTGGAGGAACGAGAGTCACCCTCAGTGGAGAACATTTGGATATTGGCTCTCAAGTTAGAGTCAAGGTCAACAACACACTGGAATGCAACATCACAGAGTGAGTACAGTTTGATCGTGTCTGAGTGTGTTGGTTTGTTTTTGGAATATGTCACATGTTAACAAAAACAGCTATAGCTCCAACTTCATCACAAGATGCTTTTAGTCCAAAACTCTGCCCTTAAAGGGTGGCGGGCGATATGCATGCTTTTAAGGACTGCTAGGCTTTTAATTTTAAACATGTTTTTTTTTTTGTGGATCTTTGAAACTTGGCCTGGATTTGTCTCAAGTGGCAAGTCTCAATGAATTTGCAACCCCCCCCACCCCACCCCCGTGCTTGGACTGTTTCGTTTGCTTTCCACGTATAAAGTCTATTTTTTAATAGCAGATATTAAATGCATGAAGTGGTAATTAAATATTCATGCTGAATGGCTTTGCAAGGCCTACATATCTTGCTCACGAGATTAAATTCAGCACTTTTACTTGTTGCCATAGCGCATACCAAAGTAGCTTTCATGACTTCTGTGAAAGCCTGCCAAGCTGCAATAAAATGACTTTTAATTGTAAGTGGAAACATTATTAGGATTAAACAGTTTTAGACGTAACAAGTTGTGGTAACGATATTTACCTTCTTTTTTTCAAAGGAAAACTGATGAAACGGTTGAATGCATCATGCCTCCAGCCCTGCAGGCTCACGCCGAGTCAGTGCTGGTGTGTGTAGAGTTCGAGGACCATCCATGTGATGGTTTTGAGCTCAGCACCATATACACCTACGAGAAGAACCCCACTATCGTCTCCATCCATCCAAAAAGGAGCTTCCTCAGGTGAGCGGGCTGCTGCATGCACCACAAGCATTAAACATTCCCTTGGCCTCATTCCCAGTCCCACATCAGGAGTGAGATTATTTTTTTGTCCTGCTTCGGTGTAAAACCCCACGCAAGGTGGTGGCACACCTTTGACACAATTACTGTAGACGTTTTTCTATTAACGCCCAGAGGCTGATAAGGGTCTTGCTCATGCCTCAGTTTATGTGCTTGTTTGTCTCCCTGTTAGCAAAATATCTCATGAAGCACTGCACAGATTTAGGTTAAATGTTTCGTTTTAAGTAATCACTGAATGAGATCGTGCATAACCTCTGTTCCAAGGTTTGACCAAACACGACTACGACTTGTCATCATAAGATGATTGTAGTGTAAAATGCTGGACGATATACATACCCTCAAGGAACGATAGACCTTTAAGCTTATTTCTCATTTTGACGTATTCTGTTAAGAGTTTGACACAATTTCGTGCTGACTGAGTTGTGGTTCTGTCCTTGTGCGTTTCAGTGGTGGCAGGACCATCACTGTGACCGGCCAGAGTTTTGATCTGGTGCAGAGCGTCACAATGAAAGTGCTGAGAATTGGGCAAACGGTGAGTGATCAGCTGAAGTGTCCTGATGCATGCTCAATAATCCAGGTAGTTAAATCTAACAAGGTAGAAGAATATCCTGATGCATGCTCAATAATCCAGGTAGTTAAATCTAACAAGGTAGAAGAATCCATCCAGAGGACCTGACACAACCTTGTTATATTAGCTGAAGTGTTTTGATTCCTCTGAGAAATCGTTTTTAATCATTTAATTATATAAACAAAACACAAGTATACAAAGTTTACTAATGCTGCTCTCTGGTTTCCTCCCCAGCCCTGTGCTGTGCTCTCCCCCTCCACCATCATCTGTCCATCCCCGGCATCCAGTCAGTCCCAGGAAACCTCAGTGCAGTTCATCCTGAATGGAGTCGTCTACTCTGGGGACGGCCCTTCCTCCTCTGTTAATGAGCCCGAGGAAGAAAACGGGAAACCTCCCAGAGGTAGCTTCCTGTTGGAGTATGTGGAGGACCCTCAGTTCTTCACCGCCAACAAAGAGAAGCTGATTAAACACCATTCAGGAGAGCCACTGACTCTCATCATTAATGTAAGTGACACTGCTGAGAGAAGAAGGTCAACTGTGGAAATACATTTTCTTTGAAAATACAGTGCGAATGCTAAGCCTTGACTGACTGCTGAAGTTGCTGAAGCTGAAACCAAGTCGTTTAAGATAAAAAAAACCCAGAACACTTGTTAAAGGAAAACGGAGCAAAACAATAGTGAAAACCTAACATTAGTAAAACATTAGCAAAAATTTTAATGTAGCAAAGCAAAAACTACCTAAACAAATGCTAAATGTAGCTCAAGGCTAGCTAAAAACTAAAAGTAACTAAATAGAAACAATGTAGCAAAAGGCTAGCTGAAAGCACCAAAAAGGTTGGCTATAAGCAGAAACGTTTAGCTAAATGTAGCAAAAGGATTGCCAAAAGTAACAAGAGGCTAGCTAAAAACCTGAAGATGTAAAAGGCTTGATGAAAGTATCAAAATACACAAAAATAAAGTAGCTCAGAGCTTAATATATCAAAGAGATAGCTAAAAACTAAAAGTAGGAAAGGACTAGCTAAAAGGGCCAAAAGTTGGCAAAATGCAACAAAAGCTTAGCTAAAAGCAGCAAAGGGATAGCCAAAAGTAGCAAATGTTGCTAACTTGATGTAAATGCTAGCTAAAAGTATCAAAATGCAAGTGAAAAATAACAAAACACTAGTCAAAAGCAACTACAAGCTAGCTCAAAAGTACTAAAGCATTAGATGATAGCTTAATGTAGTAAAAGCAGCTACAAACTAAAAGTAGCAACATGGTAGTTAGAAGCTAAATGTAACAAAAAGTTAGCAAAAAGCTAAAACTTCAGTGTTTTTACCCTTTCACGTTCACAGATAATAACAATGTTCAGAGGAATACTGACAGGAGTGAAGAACGTAGTCGGCAGACATATAATTGAAACATTTTGGATGTGGAAACTACAGAAGCTGTACGGCCAAAGTGGTTCAAAACACCAAAGTTCATGCTCAATAATCCAGGTATAAGATCCAACAATGTTCCGTCAGTCTTTGGATGAAGGACGAAAAGTCTCAGCTTAAAAAATAAAACGTCCAGATGACCTGTCTGAACATTGTTGGATAGAATCTGTATCGCTTATTTGTGAAATCTGTTTTCTAAAATCCAGTAAGTGACACGATCGTGGATGGGTTTCTCTTTCTTCTTTTTAGCGTGGGTGATGCGCAAATCACTTAGTATGCAGATCAGATTTTATGGGGCCATTGTGAGACAAAATGAGCAAACAAACCACCTCAAAGACGGCACGAAAAAGGATTAATTGCATAATTTTCTCAGATGGATTACAGGACATGCTTGCATTTGGCTTTTGTCAATATTTTACAATTTGTGTTTTGTTAATGGGGACAAATGCTGAAAACACAGAATCCTGTCACCAAACACAACTCTGCTTACATTAAAATTACATTTTTGGATGATAATATTTAGCAGTTAAGCTGCTTTTGACATCTCGGCTCTTAGTGATAGTTTACTAATATTTCTAATCATGAAAGACAAGTGATTATGTCATGTGACATGGGATTATGATACCTGTCTATGTTTGTTTGTTTGTTCGTTAGCAAAATATGTCATGAACTAGTGGACAGATTTGAATGAAACATAGAAAGTAAGTGTAAGAGGTTTGTGCATCTACAAAAACACAAAACTCACTAAAATTCAGTCAGTTTTATAGATACTGAGCTCAAACGTGGTGTAGTAGTAGCTGAGAGTCATCCACACACACACTCTGAGTGCCAACATCTCGTACAATAGCTGTATATAAAACGTTGAGTACTAGCTTTCCTTCAAGGATGGCTTCCCTCATTATTTTTCATTTTTAATATCAGTCGAAGTTACGTTAAAAACTTTATTTTGAAGATTTAATAGTTTTTCAGCAGTTTTAACCAGATGATGTTGGAAGAAACGTTTTAATGTCGTTTTGTTACCCAACAACTCAATGAGCATTGACCTTATGGTGCTTCATAAAACATTTGGAGTGACTAATGTTTGATTTATTAGTGAGTTTTTCTCTGCAGCTGATGAAGAACAATGTCATTGTAAAACATTACGAGTTTAAATTATAAATATTTGCTGACAAAAACAAACCATTGACCTTACAATTAACGCATGAGCTGCACAACTCTAAGGTTTGATCAAATGTTTTTTAGCTACTATTATTTATTTTGGGCTCCAACAACATGACAACCTGACTGTGCACCGCAGACTGAGCCGAGTGTGTTCTCATTCAAATTCTCATAAACCAGAGGCTCATAAAACACATCAAAGCCCCTGTCCTGTTGAACACGTTGATGTCTGTTGGAGGTGTGTGTGTGTGTGTGTGTGTGTGTGGCAGCTCAGCGTGACGTCTCATGTTTGCACGCTCTGGCTGATCTAAGCACCTGTCTGCTTGAATTCATCACCCCAAAGGGCCGCTGGCTGTGACGCTGTGTGGCGTGCATAAGTGAACGGCACAGATATGGAGTTTGAACGTGATGCCACTTCCTCTTTATGTGTTGGTGTGTGCTGGGAGGAGACCACCGCAGGACTGCTGCCGCAGACTGTCGACACGGACAACTCCTTTGTTGCTTCCTGTGTTTTATATTTTATTTTTAGGAAGGTGGATTCTAGTTGTGGTGGACCTGAGGGGAGGAGAGAGGCTGGAGACACAATACGTTGTTTTATTAAGGAGCTTGGGGTCTAGCCAGTCTCTGCTTTTATTTTACTTCGGACTTTAGAATGCAGTTTACTTTTTATCTGACTAAAGTTTGTGTTGAAAGTACGAGGGATCTAAGCTTCATTTATCTTTCTGTATTACACTCAACCATTTTTGTGTTTTAGTTTATGTTCTTAGTGTCTGTTGTGAGGAAGCACTTGTTGACAAAGACCCGGGAGGCTGCATCCTGCAGGAGGGACCCATCGGGTGTAATCACAGAAAGGAAACTCTAGTGATAAACACGCACGCTTCCTCACTTGGCCTAATTACATCGAAGGGAAATTGCAGTCTCATACTGAGTCCAGGGCAGTACTTTTGAATGTCTGGCCATCATTGTATGCAGCAGTCATAACAATCATAATGTTGTGTACACCAGGTTAATTGCAAAAAACAAAAAAAGCTGATATCGTTTGATCACCAGGATATTAAACAAACCTAGTTTGTTAAAATAAATACATAAATAAATAAACCAAAAGTCAAAGATATAATCCACCTACTTTGGTTTCACGTTACCAGGTTGCGTACATTTGGCTCACTTTGCAGACTGATTTTCTGAGTGGGTTTTTACCTTTAAGTCAAAGGATGAATATAAATCATCCATCGGCTCTACACTCAGATCAGAAAATCATTTTCACTTAAACAGTTTTTTTTTTTTTTGTAGCATATTACTTGAACATATGAAAGTAAAAGTCATAATGATTACATGTTGAAAGTACAGACTCTCAGCTTTAATTTGACGGTAGGTTCAACCAAAGTGGAATGAGCGTGCAGTAATTAAAGCTTCCTAACATGAAAACCTCCTTTACAGAGGTTGAAGTGCTCAACGGACTCAAAGGCTCGTTGATGAAAAAAAAATAATAATAAATGGGGGATCACACTACAGGAAGTGTCATCAACCAAGTCTACTACGAAGGGAAAATATGAAGCACACAAGTCGTATAATCTGGCCAACAGTGCTGGAGGTGCAGCAGCTCTTCTTTCTCTATGCATTCATCAAGCTGTTATTTTAATTCAGTTCAATTCAGTTTATTTCTATAGCGCCAAGTCACAACAGAAGTCGTCTCAGGGCACTGAGCATGACTCTCAGTGGCTATCACATCAAATTTGAGTCAAGTCAAATGTATTTGTATAGCACATTTAAAACAAGAACTATTACCAAAGTGCATTTTAGAATAATATCTGTTAACCCTCCTGCTGCTCTTGGGTCAAAATGTCTCATTGTGAGACATTTTGACCCAAGAGCAGCAGGAGGGTTAAACTGACTGAGTTATAGTCATTTTGTGATGGCCAAGGTCATTTAAGTACGGCAGCCATCTTAACTTATATTGACTTCAAAATGTAATCAGTTGTAGATGTCCATTCAGTGATCACATTTACTGATTCATGGGATATTTTACTAACATATAGACTAACAAACACACAGACATTATCTAAAACACTGTCGCCCTCCTTGACTCACTTTACCGCAGTCTTGAAACAAACGCTTGTAACCCATAAAATACCAAGAATTGAATTTCAAAATATAAAACACGAAGAAAGTGTTAACCCTAGCTTTGAATTTCTCCAGCATCAGTGCTCTCTGTCAAAAGCACGTGAGTTACTGAGCACAACCTTCAAGCTCCTACACCTGCGTTCGACGACCCGAGCCTGAAGGGCGAGCGCCCACACAGGGGAGCATGCAGGCAATAAACTAGTAGAGCTGTAAAAATAGGAGCCAATAAAAATGTCCCTGCAGGGCTAATATGACTGTCCTCTGAAATAAAACTTTCTAACTAGAAATCCATAAAAGCCAAGAAATTTTACTGTATTTAAATAAAGGGCTATTCCAGGATTTAATCTCACGTAGATAGTTCTGGGACAGACAGATTACATTTGAAACTCGTATCTTTATAATTACAACATTTTTTAAATAAATTAATACAACTCCTTACATGTGCACATTTCTTCAAATTAAAGTTTTATTAAATTTTTACTTCCAGAAAAACATCCTTCCGTTTTTGTACTACTACTGCTTAGCATATTTTTAGTCTAACGTTTTTCGTAGTTCATATCTTAGATCCTATTACTGTTTTTCTTTTACATTGTATACTTTTGTTGGATGCAACTGGGACCCCGTGCACACAGTTTCATTCCACCACATGAGCCACGTGTAGTGTGTATGACAAATAAAGAACCGCTGACTTCACTTTGCAGACCTACATTCTATAAAGCAGCCATCCCACGACAGCTAACTAACATGCGGAGTATTTTTGCCGGCTGTAGGAAACTCCCTGTAGAGGTTCAGAAGACACAGTCCAGCTCTACTACAGCGACTCCACATGACTCAATGTCACACATAAAGTGTAAAATCAGGGGAGTGTCCCTTTAATTAATATGGCTCCCAGTAGTGAGAGGTGGGGGCTGGACGGAAGTAGGGCACATTCATATTAACAATGAAGGAGTTGAAGTGATGCTGCCTTGAACCAGGCAGGGATGACCATCAGTGGATTTGTTTGGAGAAACTTTCCTTAGAGTTCAGGCTGCAGGAATGTTTGATGCTTTAAGCTGAACTCTAACCCACACTGGATCAGTTTGCTGCTGCTTCTCTGTCAGAGTGTTCCTGTGAATGGCTGCGTCTGCACATGTGGGCTGAGCATGAAGAGCCTCCGTGTATTTAATCGCCTTGATATTATTATACAGTAGTCCCTCGATTATCGCGGGGGTGACGCTCCAGACACCCCTGCAATAGGTGAAAAACCGCGACGTAGGAACACTATATTTATTTTAGTATTTATATATTTTAAGGCTTTATAAACCCTTCCCACACTCTTGTAATGTTCAAAACAATTAAACTTACATCATTTTAACAACATACGTACATGTACTGTACAGTACTACAAAATTTTATATGGGTACTCACCAGTTTTGCAGAACAGCAGCTTGGTTCTGGTCAGCTCGGTTCTGGTTCTGCAGACCTACCCTGCAGCAACGAAGCCCACTGCCCCGTCCAGGTTGATGTGCACGTGGATAATTTGATGTGCTTGTGGGTAATTGAGCTTCAGGAAGATTCAGTTCGCAACTTTCCTGCCAGTTCTGTGAGTTCTGTGAGCTTCATAGATAGATCGTTACTTCTGACTTTACGATGCAAAATTTTCCTCCATTGTGGCAGAAAGCAGCGGCCGGAAGCACTGTTGGCTTCTGGGTAGTGTAGTTCTTGTGTAGTTCTTTTGACTGGCGTTACACTATAGGCCTATTGAAAGAAAACTACTAAATGGCGGTGCCTGTCCAAAGTTGTTTTTTATTTGTTAATTTTTTATCTCGTACCATCCCAATCATGTGTCGTGTACAATCTTACATTGAAAAACTGAAAGAGCGATTTTGCGAAAGTCGAACTGTGAAGTTGCGAGGGACTACGTAATTCTCAACTACACTGAACTAGTTGCTTATTTGATCACACTAATTCAAGATTTTGGGTGCTCTACTTCACCAAACACTTTCTCTAGTAACACAATTTTGCCAACAATTGGCACTAGATAGTGTTGAAGTCATACTAGTCAGCAATTTTGTTGCACTAGCCCCAACTAAATGGCTGTTTAACTCACTAGTGGATCACTGGACAAAAATAAATGTGTTGTACAATTTAATTAAAACTGGTATAACACTTACATGTTACTAGACAACATAAATATGCGTAATGGTCAACTAGTGACAATCAGTTGTGCATAATAGTCAACTAGTACAATCTAGATATTGCACTTATCAACTAGATGACACCTTTTTGTCTTTTCTAGTTACCTAGTAGGCCTAAAAAGGTCAACTAGATGACTTGTGCGCTTAAAATGTTGACTAAGTATCTAAATACAAAATGCTCACTAGCTGACTAGTTAAAGCTTTTTTGGCTTTACTAGTTTATTAGTGCAGGTGCACATTAAAATGTTAATGAGTTGACTAATGTGCCTAAAATGGTGACTAGTTAACATATAGTTTTTGATGCTTATTAGTTAACATGTACAGTCATTGACTAGTTTGGTCCAGTGGTCAATTGATGTATTAAAACTTCAACTAGTTGGGACTTTTTGGCTACTAATGTGGCAACATGGTGAAGTGTGATCTAACTAGTTGGGCAAAAGTGCAACAAATAGGCAAAGAAGTGCTACTAGTAAAAGTATTTATTAAGTTAGTACACCAAAATGTGCAAGTAGTGCAGTGCAAAGAGCTAGTGGGTGAAAATGACACAGCATGAAGGGTATTAAATACACAAATGGCTTGCCATAGTAAAGCTCTACATAAATGTTATCTGTTCTGGAGCAGAAAGTGCCGAGCGACCTGGAGCTGCTGCCTGAGGAATACTCCGTGATGATTGGACCCTATCCCTGCAACATCAGCTTCCATAATGACCAGCTGTTCCACTGCACCATGAACGGACTGCTGAGCTCCAGTGAAAGTGAGCTGCCCGTCACTGTAAGTATGAAAGCATGCACAGCACCAGCACACGCATCTAACCCCGTCTTGAAAATATTTCTCGATAGGCCCTGATAATTTAAGCTCATCACCCATCTGTCATTTAGCTGTTAAAGCCAAATATTTATTCAGAACCAGCACCATCTGTGATGTTAACTGAAACAGATTTGATGTGACTGAGCCCATGCTCTCCAAGTAAAGATGTCTGCGCAGCTTTAACAGGAATTATGAATGGTCTGTGGTTGCTGAGCATGCTGCTGTGACATTAGTCATGTGGTGAGCGGTCACTCGGTGACAGAAACAACAAAAACTGACAATCAATCAATTGATCTTTGGAGCTTTTGTCACTCCATCTATAACGGCAGACACCTTCTACTCACCCTGATACCCAATTATTCAACGTCAGCGCTGATACCTGTCTCTTTTTTTTCTTCCAACTCACTAGGTTAAGATGTAAATCAGCCTTATGCAGCTCTGATAAAACCAAAAACTCTCCTTCCTTTACCCGTCTCTTTCCCATCTGTTGTCCATTCTGGTTTGTTTTATGGAGCTTTTAAAGGGATATAAACTTGTTTGTATTTAAATATGAGCTAAACTGGGAGTGGTTTGCTGAAACTGTGAGTTATACAACATTGCATGCTCTCTCCTCACTCCAACTACCTCCATGTCCTGTCCACCTCCTGCATCCAGGTATCTCCTCTTTGTCTTTTTCCTGGCAGCTGCATTTCTAACATCCTTCTACCAATATACCCACTGCCCCTCCTCTGGACATGTCCAAACCATCGTCCCTCCTCTGGACATGTCCAAACCATTGTCCCTCCTCTGGACATGTCCAAACCATCTCAGTCTGGCCTCTCTAACATTATGTCTCAGTTGTTCAACCTGTGCTGTACCTCTGATGATCTCATTCCTGATCTTATCCATCCTTGTCACTCCTAAGGAGAACCTCATCATCTTCATTTCTGTCATTTCCAGTTCTGTCTCCTGTCTTTTTGTCCATGCCTTTGTCTCCAGACCATACAACATAGCTGGTCTCACACTGTCTTGTAAACTTTTTCTTTGACCTTTGCTGACACCCTTTAGCCACAACTCACTCCTGAAACTTTTCTCCATCCACTCCATCCTGCCTGGACTCTCTTCTTCACCTCTTTACCACACTCCCCATTTTCCTGGACAGTGGACCCCAAGTACTTGAAGTCCTGCACCTTTGTGACCGCTGCTCCTTGTAGCCTCACTGTTCCACCGGCCTCCCTCTCATTCACACATGTGCTCTGTCTTACTACGGCTGACTTTCATTCCTCTTCTTTCAAGTGCATACCTCCACCTCTCCAAGTTCTCTTCCACCTGTTCCCTGTTCTCATCACCAATCACAATGTCATCTGCAAACATCGTAGTCTATGAGGATTCCTGCCTGACCTCATCTGACCTCATCTTTATTATCAAAACCACCTATGTATATGATGCACCAATCCCACAGTATGATGCTACCACCACCATGCTTTACAAGTGGCGCAGTGTTTTTAGGTCTGGAAACCTCACTTTGACTTTTCCCAGAAAAGTTATATATTTTAGTTTGCAGCAAAAGCCTTTTATTAAACCACAGTCCCACACAGAAATAAGCGTTTCTTACCTCACGTTCTCTCTCTTGGTGTACCTGTGGCGTGTTCGGGTGCCTGCTCACTTCATCTGTCCATCAAGACTTCTCAAAACAAACACGAGCAGTTAGCGAAGGCATCAAGTCAGGGCAAAGGTCAAATGAGATGTCATAACACAAATGGGTGGGCTAGCTTGCCCATGCGGACACTGAGAGGGTGTTTTGCGTGAACAAGTGGCAGGGACGTAAACACAAAACGCACGTATATTTTCTTTAGTGTCGGCACATTTATGAAGTGCACTTGTGGCCATTTGTGGGTTTTTCACCTACGTTTGGACTCAGAGGCAGATCTATTTTTACGTGCCTCTGCTTGGCTCTGAAGTAATGAAGAAATGGATGTAAGGAAGCAATGTTTTTTTTTTGTTGTTGCCTCGAGCAAAAAGGAACATGAAACAATGGCATTTTCCCCTCCATTACACCAGGTCATGCTGGTGCAGTTTCTGGAAGAGGTTCTCCTTGCTGGTTCATGGAAATAAATGCCCTAACTGTGAAAGTAAACAGGGAATGTTGATGACAAGGAAACCCAATAAAATTGTTTCTCCTTTACGATAAGACCATCCTAAGAAGGATTAGGTCTGAGGAGTGGAGGTTTTTTATCTGAGTCTTTCTTTTTTTTAAGTTGGAGAAGGAGAGGGAACGATGTGAGCAGAGACCACAGAGTCCCTGCTGACTAATCAAAAGGCAGAAGTGAAAGTTTTTTCTTGTCACATCTGGGTTAGTTTGAACCGAGTGCCTCTTCCAGCTCATTGCAGTGGGAGAACATTTTTCAATTCCTACACTGTATGTATTTTTGCATTTCTTTTGCATGTGTGCACCTGTCTTCATGACAAAATGAATGGGCTTGCATGTGTGTGCAGGCACCTGTGTCCCTGGTGGGAAATGTTTATCTGCATACGTGTTAAGTTTGTTACAAAGAAAAAAATGCAAGGACTCCTAATATACATGTCCTTGATTTTTGTTCCGTATACAGTATATTACTTGTAATGTTTTATAAGTTAAGGGTTTAAAACATCTATTAAAGTAAGTGAGCTTTAAGCTCGGGCTTCAGAGTGCTGTTTATATTTTAGTTTTTCTAGAGTTATATTCTCCACAGTCTACAAAGTCAAACTATCTTCTCCTTTAAATATATTAATGGCAATAAAGAGGAAACATGACATCTACCATATGAGTCTAAAGTTAATATTTTTCTAATAAATATTATCGCCTTAACTTTTAAAAATAGATATGACATGTTGGTTTTCACAGTCAGTGAGGGAAACATGTTACTGTAGAGTCTGGGAGTCATGAGCTTTTAAAGGGATAGTTCTGATCTTTTGAAATGGGGTTCTGTGGAAAGTCATGCACAATTTATGTCATACCTGTTGTAGACAGCTCTTTAAATGGATTAAGTTCATATATATAAAAAAAAGTTTGATTTGGATCAGACTGATGAGCTCATGACAAGTCAAAGGGAGCCAAGACTAAATTGCTGTTCTAAACAGCTCCTGTCTCAAAGATTTCATAGCAGCTCATAAAAATTATATTTTATAAATATTTACATTTCTGTCAGCTTTGCGTTTAAATGGTTAATTATGGGCAGCACGGTGGCGCAACTGGTAGAGCTGCTGCCTCTCAGCGAGCAGGTCCCTGGTTCAAACCCCGGTCCAGGGGCCTTTCTGGGTGGAGTTTGCATGTTCTCTCCGTGCATGCGTGGGTTTTCTCCGGGTGCTCCGGTTTCCTCCCACAGACCAAAAACATGCATGTTAGGCTGATTGGTAACTCTAAATTGTCCCTAGGTGTGAGTGAGAGAGTGAATGTTTGTTTGTCTCGTTTGTCTCTATGTGTCCCTGTGATGGACTTGCGACCTGTCCAGGGTGTACCCCGCCCCTCGCACAGTGATTGCTGGACATGGGCACCAGCGACCCCCGTGACCCAAAATGGAATAAGCGGGTAAAGATAATGGATGGATGGATGGTTAATTATGGAAGTTCACTAATATGTATGACTTTATGAAACTAGCATCAGTTAGCTGTAGCACTCCCAGTAAAGCCTGGGGCACTTTCACAGGAATCACAATATTTCAGGCAAAATAAGTTAGTCACACAAAACTGACAGGGATTTAGAGGCTTACAAAGCACCTTTCACATGACGATGTTAAAACGGAGTTGCTCAGGAATCCACTTCAGTCTTTGCCCTGCTGGGACTAATCGTTAGCTTGTCCGTTTGATCAGATCTAATTGTTTTCCTCCAAACAAAAGTAATTTAAAGACCTATCTACAACAGGTAAAATATTGATTGTTCATCTTTCCACAGGATTCCACTTTTAAAAAATTAAGATATCACTTAAAACAAAAAGGAAAAGCAGCTCAAAATGCTTATTCCAGACCAAAGATGAGCTGAAGGACTGTATAAATCACTAAAATAAGATTATAAACTGTAACTCCACCACAGTGCTGTTTTAAATACATTGCATTGAAAATGAGTGTATGCATCTCCTTTAATGTTCTTCTTAATAACTTCTCCGTCAATTTTAAACCTCCGTCTTTTGTCTTTTTTCCTAAATTGCTTTACTGGCTGTATGATAAACTGCAGAGTTTTTCAAAAGGCACAACAAAAAGGTTATTGTTAGTCAAGCAAGTACCCAGGGACAGGAGCTAAAATTAAATCAGTTTGAGGAGAGTTGCATATCTTGAGAGGTTTATTTCTGTATTTCATTTCATTAAGTCAGCTGCAGTTATATTTATTGCTGCTAACATCATTTTTATTTATTCATTTTTGCGCCTTAGAGCCCGTTTAATGCTTTGCTGTTAACGTCTCTGTGTGAATTTAGTTACCTCAAGATGATTGAACTGCTCACACATAAATAATGTTGCTATGTTTAGCAAGTCCCTGGACTCAGGAGCTGCAGATGTTTTGTTGGATTAACGCAAAGTTTATCTTGACATTATACATTAAATTACTAATATTAAATTACTCATAACAGAAATGTTAAATTTCTCTTTAAAGTTTAAAGAGACAATGTTTCTAAATGTGTAACATTGTGAGATAATCTAATCTCTGCTTTATCTATTAGTAAATTAACAATTCTGCAAGTACTATGGTACTCCTTTAAGGAACACGTATACAAACAAAGTCTGACACAAAGATCTCGTTCATCGCTATTGATCCTAATGTTACTTTCTTAGTTACAAAGTAAACATTAAATATTTGCCACATTATACAACCCCTCTCTGAGATTTGAGCTGGTTCAGTCCAACTCAGCAGAACATGAGTGTTTCTGCTGTGAAGATGTAAAAGAAAGCTAACGTTGTTCTTTAAGTGTTAAAATGGTGCTACATCTTTTTCTGACAGGACTCAGTATAAACTTGGAGTGATAATTAAGCAGTAATTAAGGGTGCAAGATATGGTCGTAAAAAGTGGAAAAACAGAAAGAAAGGTGTTTCACTTTCAAACTCGAGTTTCTTACATGAAATTTTATAACATAATTAAGCCACCGGGCAGCACAGTGGTGCAGTTGGTAGAGCTGCTGCCTCTGGAGAAGGTCGCTGGTTCAAATCCCGGTCCAAGGACCTTTCTGGGTGGAGTTTGCATGTTCTCTCCGTGCATGTGTGGGTTTTCTCCGGGTACTCCAGTTTCCTCCCACAGACCAAAAACATGCATGTTAGTCTGATTGGTAACTCCAAATTGTCTCTAGGTGTGAGTGAGAGTGAATGGTTGTTTGTCTCGTTTGTCTCTATGTGTCCCTGTGATGGACTGGAGACCTGTCCAGGGTGTCCCCCGCCTCTCGCACAGTGATTGCTGGATATGGACACCGGTGACCCCGTGACCTGAAAAGGGAGAAGTGGGTAAAGATAATGGATGGATGGATGGAATTAGGCCAACATCCAACAGTTACTTTCTGAGTTTCATCAAAATCTGTCGAGTGGTTTGATGTTTTGCTAACAGACAGGGAAATGATCTCACACAGAGGCATTTACAGGACTGCCCTTCTTTCATAACAGTGGGTGGTAAAAAGAAGAAAAACATCCTCCCCAAAATAAGTACAGCACCTGTTTAATATAAGATCGGTGCTTCTTCAGAGTCTCATTAAAGGAAACAAGCTGAAGAAAAGAGAAGGTCTTGAAGGATTGTGACCCAGTTTCATTCTGGTTTGTCTTTCTTTCTAGGTGCAAGTGGGGAACTTCCATAAAAGTATTGCCAGAGTGCAGCTCGGCGGCAGCGAGCTGGCCATCGTGGTCTCCATTGTGGTGTGCTGCGTGCTCCTGCTGCTGTGCACAGTGGGTAGGTGGAGTTCACACACACTGGATGTGTGGATGATGGATGTGTGCCTGCTGCAGCAATGGATGCTCCAGATGTGGAAGAGATAAAAGGAATTCTGGGGTCATAGTTTCATGCACTTGCTTCATCCCCGTTCAGTAGTCAGTGCACAAAGACCCCAGTGTTCATCTCTATCTGCTCAGTGTGTGTGTGCTGCTCGCTGTAATCACAGAGTAAGTGTGTCTGCGGTACAGGTGTACGGGTGTAAATTGCTGCTAGTGTGTATTTTCACACTATTTCCCATTTCGGATCCGTTCTCAGATATTCACAAAATCCTCTATTTTTCCTGCCAGACATTTTAGGTGTGAGATTACTGGTAAAAGAATTTGTGCTGCAGTTTTATTTAGACAATAAGACAGGCGATATGGATCATCCTTTTCATTATCATGTTTTCACATTTGGATGCACGTGAGGAACCGTTTCTCACTGGCTGTGAAAAGCTGATACACAGGTATTTTACATTGTTTTTGTTTTTTCAGGCTCATTTTGACCCTTTATTTTGTCCTGGAAGTTGTTAGTATGCAATAAGAGTGTCATACTGATTTTTTTTTCCTCACTTTTTGCTATTTTTTATTATTTTTTTGTTTCAGCTCTGGTCGTGTACTGCACGAAAAGCCGGCGGGCAGAACGCTACTGGCAGAAAACGCTTCTTCAAATGGAGGAGATGGAGTCCCAGATCAGAGAGGAGATCCGGAAAGGTGTGTTTGGGAGAACACAAATTACATTTTTTGCGTTGACTGACATGAAAAAAGAGCCTGCAAGACGCCTCAAATATTGACCTCACACATTTGCCTGTTATTGTACGTGTTTGTGTGCGTGAGCAATTTGCTTTGGAGGCTTCTCCATCTGAAGAGGGAAGGAGATACAACAGTTGACAGATTTGTGCCTAGTAAGCGTGACTCATAAAACACAGAGTGTGACAAATGATCAGTCACACTCCGAGACACACAGAGTGGACGCAACGTCCCTCCTGCATCTATAGGACGAAGGCCTGTGTGTGTTGTATCATTTAAAGCCTGTATGTTAGTGTGTGTGTGTGTGTGTGTGTCTGGAGCATTCGAGTAGACCCGAGTGAAGGCCACTCCACGTCTGAGCACCCAGATTTATGGTGTAGAGATGGGGGGGACGGATAGAGAAAGAGGAATGGAGGGAGGAAACGATATGAGCGAGAACGAGGGCCTCGAGCCTGAGGAGAAACAGAAGCGTGGGAGGAGGAGGAGGAGAAGGGAGGTTATTTAGTCAGAGGACACAGATAGATTAGTGGCCGAGTTCATGGTGAGTGTGCACCATGTGATACTTCTGCTGAAGAAGAAAAGAAAGTGCTGAAAAAAGGTGTGTGGGGGGGTAAAATATGACGGGGTATTGATGTCTCATGGATTACTCAAACACGAGGTGTTCATGTGAAAAACCAAAGCAGGGGCGGTTTCATCTTCACGCCTGGTGCGTTTGAGCTGAACTCGGTGATGTGAACTGGTCTGGATGACAGTTCAGCGAGCAGGAGGATAAACAACCTGAAACATAACCACGAAACGTGTTTTAAATCTCGCAGGTCGTTTTTTTTGTTGTTGTTTTTTTGCTCTCACTCCACAAATACGCTCTGAAGAAAGTGCATTTGTAACCTAAATACATCTCTCCTCTTGTGACAGGAAGTACTTTTCCATAAAGAGATCTGCAGCATCTCATTAGAGGAAAACAATATCCCTCTGCTGGTACTGAGAGTGGCTATATTATTAGCATGTAGATTCAAGTTGTGGACATGTTCATGTTGTTCCTGCATGTTAACCTCAGCCTTGCACACATGTTTTGGATAAAAGCCTCAGACTGGATTTGGCAGCTCGGACTGGCATTTGGTAAATATTTGTCTGCATGCTGCTATGGGGCTGCACGCTCTGGCAAAGACACAGAAAGATCACAGGAATATCCTCAGTTATAGTTAACATTCAGCAAGAATATGACCCTGGATATGTGAAATCAGATGATGCAACTGTGAAACAGCTGATTTTATTTCAGCATGAATGGTAATGGTTTCAGAACTTTAACAGATTTTACTCAGCAGCGAATAAATCCACATCTAGAAAGGAAGTCGAGCTCTTTGTAGTCACTTTTTTTACTTGTCTTCCCAGGCTTTGCAGAGCTGCAAACAGACATGACAGATCTGACCAAGGAGCTGAATCGCAGCCAGGGCATCCCCTTTTTGGAGTACAAACAGTTTGTCACGCGCACGTTCTTCCCCAAGGTGAGACTCTTTTTTTTCACCTGCTATCTGATTCCACCTGGCAGACTGACAATACCATTTTTCTCACTGGGGTTTTCATATTTCTATCCCTCTGTGGGCGCTTTTCACATATTCTACTGCCTAAACTATGCAGGGTAAAAAGGAAAACATCACCTTGGAACTTTTAAACACAGTAAATGTCGAGCAAAGCTGCCTCAGTGCGCCTCCCTGCAGGAGAGTTAATGTGTTCCCAATAGTAGGCATTTTTCTGGTGTGTGATCCGCCCCAAAGGTAGACTGTGAGTAAATCAGTGGGTGGGTGTTTTGTTCCACCAATAAAGACAGGCACGACTCAGGGGCTTTGTCTTGCAACCACATTCATGGACTTTCAAGGAGACAGAACAATGACGGGCAGCGAGACGAGGGAAGTTTCCCCCCGTTCTCTCAGAACACACTCCTTACTCAGTTCACACACCCACACTGTGTTGCAAGTTTAGATGATGTTGCACAATAGTGGTCTTGCTGGCTGAGGTGGACAAACAGATTTTCTGTAGAAGTTAATGTTGTAAAGCCTTACAGGAAAAGTCTGATCATTTTGAAGGGCTCACATCAGTCTTAGAGAACAGAGTATAAAGTGCAGAAAGGCTAATAGTTAGCCAAACAAAGGCTTTTTTTATTTTATTTTGTTTTTAAGCTTATAAAACGACCCTTTCCGGTGTGGGCTGTACCTTAAATATATGAACGTCCCACCTATGCACATTCATGCTCAATAATCCTGGCTCAACATGCTGATGTGTAGAATCCAGGACTTAATGTGTAAACCAATGGGTGCCGTAATGCAAATAGCGGGTGGGCCGGTGTGTATGGGGTGCCATTTGTAATGTAAAGTTACACAGTCAAAAATTAACAGCAATATTTTGGTTTATTTAGCCTTTCATAAGAAAGTGAAAAAAAAAATATTTTTTTTCAGTCATATTTTCACCATGTTATTTGTACATTTATAAATGTCATCGTTCCAAACTAAATATTTAATTTACAAGCTAAATATTCAGTTTACAAATTAAATATTTAACTTGCAAGTTAAATATTTAGCTCCACACTAAATATTTAGTTTGCAAACTAAATGTTTATGTCCAAGCTAAATGTTTAATTTACAAACTAAATATTTAACTTGAAAGTTAAGTATTTAGTTTGTAAACTAAATATTTAGCTACACACCAAATATTTAGTTTACAAATTGAATATTTAACTTAACTTGCAAGTTAAATATTTAGGTAGTAAGCTAAATATTTAGCTACACACTAAATATTTAGTTTACAAACTAAATACTTAACTTACAAGTTAAGTATTTACTTTGTAAACTAAATATTTAGCTTGTAAATTAAATATTTAGTTTGGAACTATGACATTTATAAATGTATGAATAACATGGTGAAAATCAGACTTTGAAAAAACAACAACTTTTTTTCTTATGAAAGACTAAATAAACCAAAATATTGCTGTTAATTTTTGACAGTGTAACTTTACAAACGGCACCCCATAGCGTGCGCGCGGGAGGTCCAAATTTTGAATAAAGTAGATGTGATTTCCTGCATTTTGGTATATTTTAATGAGTTGTTAAACATCTATGTTCACCTACATTTGTAAACACTCTGTTTCGGTCAATCATCTTAGCTGTTATTTTGACAAACTAGCACCGTTGTTTTAATACGTAATGTGAATAATACACATCAAACATTTCTATCGTTGTATTTTGAATAAATAATCTAAATTTTATTATTGACCCACTTAAACTGTCAAACTGATTTGCAATTTTGTTGTGCTGTTTAATTATATTTTTGAGTTTTTGTTAATAAAATTGCACAGTGACTTTGGACTTTTAGGGGCAGAGATTTCTTTAAGGGTAGAGGTGGAAATGCTTACTTGAAAGGGCACATATGAGATATTAAGAAGCTCATAAGTGGCTGTTGTGTGTAAAATTAGTGTTTATGTAATTATTTTCAGTTTACATAAACAATATAAGTTTTATTCTTTTGAGGCAATCCTATTTGTTTATTACTTTATTATTAGTAAGCCTGAGAGTTGCCTGATCCGAGCAAATGGTTACTGGAATGCACCCTGTCATAAAAAGAAGGGTTCCCGGATCCTGTTCCAGCAGGATCTGGCTCACATTAAGCCCTGGTAGAAACCCTGCAATAGAGAAAATTAAACCTCTACACTTTTGCATCATACTGTTTCGTTTGTTGCTGTTTTCTCGGGTGAACAATGTTCATGTCATTATGCAAATCTATTTGTGCTGAGGATGGATATTAATAAATATGTACAAAGCGTATCCACATTTTCATGATGTTCAAAATTGAAGCCAATTTTTGGGGGGGGGAATTGTTACGTTGTAGTTTTGGAGCCAGAGTCTGTGCACAGGCGATGTGGGCTGTACCTTAAATATATGAACGTCCCACCTACACACCCTCCCAGCTCGCTGACAGGCTGTCACTTTGTCAACCAGAGTGATTTGGTGTTAAATATATGAGAAAAATGCATTTTTGAACTTACAGCAGCAAAGTTAGAGCTACAATAAAAATCAGCACCTAAAGCATTGACCTGGGGTTTATTCTGAAAAACAGTTCAGAAAATGTCCCATTCTTGTGTATGGACTGGGAGGCTTAACAACTGCACTGCAGACAACCACTAGGGGGTGCTTGTTTTTGTGACCTCATCTTCCAGCTTGTGGTCGTGTCTCTAGTTATAATACATCTCCACTCACCTTTTTACACTTACTAATACGCATGCGTAAAATCTGGCACCACGCCCCCAAATAGTTTCTTGGCTAACTCAGGTCAACGTATTATTTTGGTCCTTTACACTTGCTTTTTATTGACTGTTATATATAAACATATTTTTAAATTAACTGTATTATTTTACGCTGCGATAGCGACATGTAATGTTCCTGTGTATTGGAATTACTGCAGAGCACAGCTGAAACATATGAGCATTGTTTAAGCAAAGTGTATTTCAATGAACTGAAAGTAGGCATGAAGATGAAGGCATCTAGAGCCCAAACCATCGTAAAACACTGACTTTGAGCATGTGCAGTAGTGACTGTAAAAAGGCCAGCAGTAGTGAACACAGACATGTTGTCATGACTCTGATGGGTGTATCAGTCTGCTAACAGTTGAGTAAACTTTTGACTGACTAGATGTTGATTGATCCGTTCAGCAGCCTCTGCATTAGCTGACAGCAACTTTTCACACCCGTATGTTGTTTTGGGAAATCGTTGTTTTATAAGCCAGAAAAAAACAGCCTAAAACAGTACTTCAGCTGTTACCTTAGCCTAGACAAAGACTCCTGCCCTTTTCTTGAAAAATGTGTGCTTTATGACTGATAAGGTACTAACTATTGATAACTGATGGATTGATATTTGACCGAATATCCATCCATCCATCCATTATGTTTTACATGCTTCTTCTTTGTCGGGTCACGGGGGTCACTGGTGCCCATTTCCAGCCATCACTGTGCAAGAGGTGGGGGACAGGTCTCCAGTCCATCACAGGGACGCATAGAGACAAACAACCATTCACTCTCTCACTCACACCTAGAGACAATTTAGAGTTACCAGTCAGCCTAACATGCATGTTTTTGGTCTGTGGGAGGAAACTGGAGTACCCGGAGAAAACCCACACATGCACGGAGAGAACATGTAAACTCCACCCAGAAAGGGCCCCCAGCCAGGATTCGATCCGGCGACCTTCTCGCCGAGAGGCGGCAACTCTACCAACTGCGCCACCGTGCCGCCTATTTGACAAAACATCATTTCAAAAATCATCAGACTATCCATAAATGACGAGAAACAAACTCCAGTGTTGCCAGGTGACAGTAAACAGTCTGCTGCTCTTGTTTCTCTACAAGAGTTGTCTGACATTCCACACAAAACAGCCTGAGACAGAAAAGAGGCCAAACGTAGCCGTCCTGACGTGACAAGCTGTGCCTTTTAGCTGTGGTTCACTTTGTCTCAAAGCATTTTACTGTTTTATTACTAACAGCATTACGGTGTCATGTTTCTCATCGGGCAAGAGCTTCTCTTTTCTAGAGTCCAACTGAACACCACCAACTGTAGGCCAGCTCTTTATCCCACCCCCCTTCCCACCAATCCCCACTCACATGTTTATAACCACAGCTTGCTTTGTTTTACAGATTCTCTGTGTGTTTATGTGTATTTCAGATGTGTTCGGATTACGAGAAGAGCCTGGTCCAGCCCACCTATGAGAATGACTCTATGGGACCTCGAGCGCTTCCAGAAACCCACCCCTTGCTGCAGGACTGGCAGGTAAAGACCATTTAGGACAGGTTTTCTCATGTTTTGGCTTTGCATCTTGGTTGGGTCACACTGGAGCTTGTGAGCATTGTTGTTGATGCGCAGTGAAGGAGCATGTCCGTGTTAGCTCACATGTTCTTGACGGTGCTAATGCATGTAATGTAATTGTTTCTAGTGGTAAATTGAAACTAGTATTTCTTGAAGGGATTCATATCACCCGATGCTTGCATGCCAAAGTTTCAAACAAAGTTCTCATGTGATCTGGTAGCACTCGGACTTTGTGTTAGGGAGGACTCTCAGCTATCTTCATGCCATATTTTAGCTTAAAATGTGTACAGCTGTTTGAGTTAGAGCAATTGTAGTTTTGGCTAAAGTTGATTTTCTTTTGTAGCCATTTTGAATTAGTTTGACTTCAACAGTAAATCAGTTGTAAATGTGCATCCTATATTACTTTGTTTCTGAGTTTCATTAAACTATGTCCAGTGGTTTAAGAGATAACAAAGTCCATGCTCAATAATACAGGTATAAAATCCAACAATGTTCAGACAGGTCATCTGATGGTTTCTTTTTTTTTGTGCTGAGACGTTTCAAGAGATATTTGGCTAACGGTTGCAAAAAAACTTGCACAAAGTGTTAGAGCTCTGAGCGTGTGTTGAGGATGACTGTCAGATATTACCTCACCAAATTTCAGCTCAATACCTGTAAAACTGACTGTTAGAACCATTTTTGTGTTTGCTAAGATGAGTAGCTATGGCAGCCATTTTGAATCAAGTTGACTTCAAAAGTTAATCAGTTTTAAATGTTCATCCAAGGATGCTTTTCTGAGGTTTTTATTAAAATATGTCCAGTGGCTTATGCAAATGTTAGCTAACAAACACACATGCACACACAGACAATGACTTAATGATAGCCCACGTTTTACTGTCAGCAGGTGATACCAAGCTGCTAGCAGCTTGTTACTACTTTCCCTTTTGGCTCTTGGACGTCCAAACAGTCTGCTTTTCATCCAAAACCATCATATCACCCTGGTGGCTGTGTGCACGACTGTACAAGGGCAGATGTGAGCCATACAGAGTGGGAAAAAGCATTTGTTTAAGTGTGAACGTGTGCTGAAAGTGAAAGCACATGCAGGTGTGTACGCGTGCAACTTCTAACAGAGAAAGTAAAGACTGCAGCGCTGGTTTTGGGTCGGCAGCCAGGGGAGCCTGTCTAACGGTGATGAAGTGCCTTGGATCCACATCGTCTTTGCAGGAAGTGTTTTCCAGGTCACAGTGAATAAATCTCAGAGGTAGGCATTTATCTTAATGGACACCCCTGTTCTCCTTCTGTCAGGCTGCAAACCACACCATATGGCTGCAGTCCAGAGGGAAGACTTCATCGCTCCAATGCTTAGTCGCACCCATTGATAGGCCGCACTCATTAAGTCGACTCGGCACATTTAGCGACAATCCTGCACAATAAGAGACGTGGAGTGGAGAAAACCTGAGAGGGAGGTTCCTGAGGAAAGCAGAGGGAAGGATCGCGTGATAGAAAGATGAGGCGTTCACTAGACGGATCACTCAAGACACGAGGTGGTGAAACAGATTAGGGATATCGCAGCAGGTGGTAATCCAGTTAGGGTGGAATCGTGCTGAGAAGTAAATGTTTTATTCGCCTTCTGTCATCTTTTGTCATCAGGCCACCAACACAACACGGCCTAACGTGGAGGAGGGCATCACTCTGTTCTCCACTCTGCTCAACAACAAGCACTTCCTCGTCACGTTTGTCCACGCCTTGGAGCAGCAGAAGGACTTTGCTGTTCGAGACAGGTAACTGCGTCACTTCTGCTCCTCACTTCCACCATTATAGACTAGAGACTTTTGTAAGGAAGATGGATCATTTGTTAAACGGGCAGGTCATGTTTTTAAAAGTAGTTTGTGGAAAAATTGTAAATAAAAAATATCTCACCTGGTGTAGATAGCTTTTTGCACAAGCTTGGTTAAGAAAGAAAGAGATTAAGTTTGACCAGAAGTGTCAAATATGTTACTGCCATTCATGCAAATGCTATTTTAGAACTCTTTACACCTCCATGTATTTAGTATTATACTATTATTCTGGCAGAATTATTTTGAAACTCCTACAGGAAGTGCCCCAGGCTAGACAGGAAATGATACAGCCAGCTGTTGCGGAGGTTACTCAGACTTGCAAATAACCAAACATTTTGGTGTAAATAACCATATGATGCAACATAAACATTGGTGTTAAGGTTTGTAAAATTGTGTTTGCATTAACCACTATGAACTTTTTCAGTTTGGAGTTGTTCTGTAATAGCTGCTATCCACTTTGGTCTTAACTCTGCTTGAAATAGCTGCTTGTTTGTCAGTCTGATCAGAACTAAACTTTTATTTTTAAACTGAGGTTGTCAGAAAAGCTATCTACTACAAGTAAGATACTAACTGTTCACAAACCCTACTGTACAACCTTATACAACCTTACTGTAAACAATCTGAACTATCTCTTTAAGGTGTCCTTAATGTGACTTCAGTTTGTTTTTTACATGCACGATCCCTACGCACTCTTGAAAAGTGTGGAATTGATTTGAGTATTTTACAAGTCTGAATAGGTGTAGAAAGAAAAATAATTTGGAAAAACATTTCTGTTTTCAGACTGACTTCTATTTTTTAATGTACAATTCTGATTTGATAAAAAAAAAAATTGTTCAGACAAGTAGTCTGATTTTAATTACACTATGTATAAACTAGAGACATGTAGATTTAGTTCACAACCTTAGGTATATCAAAGCATATTAATTACCAAATTGTTGTCACAAATTAGTCCATCCCTAAAACATTGTTCTTCTGTTTTTTACATTTTATTTTAAATTGGAACATATTCTTACAACATATTTATATATATGTATATACATATATACATATATATATATACATATATACATATATATATGTATATGTATATATAAATGTATATATATATGTACATATACATATATACATATACATACATATATATATATATATATATATATATATATATATATATTTATAGACAGTCAGACATGTATAGTGTTATGGGATGTTGGTAAACCAGAAACTAAGGAAGAGCTTATTTGGTTTTAAGCTATTGGGCAATGGAAACATCAGAATTGGGTCTGACTTGGTCTTTGTTTTGAGCTGACCTTTGCAAAGTGGCCTCTCATTGTGGTTCAGCCACCACTGGCACACTTACAGAGAGACTCTCAAACTACTGAGAGCTGTTTGTGGGTGTTCAAACATGATAAACAGTCAGAGGCACTGGGGAAGAGATTTTTTTTTCTTTTTCCAAAAGACTGCGTAAATAGCTGGCATCAGTTCTTCTTTTTTAAATAAACAAACTATGTTTTTGGAAGGAAGGAGCCGAGTAAAAAGTGTTAACTCTTGTTTGTGTATATATATATATATATATATATATATATATATATATATATATATATATATATAGCTCAAGTGGAAGGCCAGACAACCAACACAAATAATCATGGCCCAATCCGACCGTCCCTCCTATTGTTTTAGATTACATTACTTTCTGTTTCAGTTATTGCTATGTTTAGGTTTTCTGACCTTCGTTGTATTTGTTCATGTTCACTGCACTCATCATTGCAGAAGACGTAGGAATTTCTCAATACATCCATCCATTATCTTCTGCTTGTTCCGAAGTCGGGTCGTGGTGGCAGCAGCTTGAGCAGGGAGGCCCAGACATCTCTTTCCACAGCCACCTATATCAAAAAAATAAAAACTGTTTAGCCAAGTTAACCATACACAGCTGATCAAAACAACAGAAGATTTACTGGCTTAAAGACACAGTCATGTGACCCAATAGACAGTGGAGACAAAAACAAAACTTATATTGGCCAAATATTCCTGCTAAATGCCATATGTTTCATCTTATTTATGTACAAGGTAAAAAAGTATTATTTGAATTTGTTCAGGTTTAAAATCTCAGCTTCTTTTTCGTAATAATGACACAAACAAAACACTTTATTGCAGTTTCCTAAAACGATTGTGTCACTGTGAATCAGAGAAGAAAACCTCCAGAGTTGAGCTCACGTCCCTATCCCTGCGCTGCGTCAGCACTTACTGACTGATGGAGCCTCTTCCTGCTGGATTAAAGGGGCTTTGTTGGGGAAATCCCCCCGCACCTCTGGACACTGACTCAGACGCTCCTCTGCATTAGATCAGACCTTTATTTGGCTCCATGGTCACAGGTGCAGCGTGGTGGATTTAATCTTGCTTTGGTTTGCTGTCATTTATTATTCCTGAACCTGCACTGACCACACTCTGGCGGAGCGTGTTTTCACAGGCGTGTTTGTGCTCATTTGTCTCCTCTGATCATCTGTTTTCTTACTCCTCAGATGCAGCCTGGCATCCCTGCTCACCATCGCCCTCCATGGTAAACTTGAGTACTACACGAGCATCATGAAAGACCTGCTGGTGGATCTGATCGATGCTTCGGCCTCCAAGAACCCCAAACTGATGCTGCGCCGCACCGAGTCGGTTGTGGAGAAGATGCTGACCAACTGGATGTCCATATGCATGTACAGCTATCTGAAGGTGAGGATGAGAGGAATACTCAGCAAAGTTTTGACTAAAAAAGACTAAACACCCCCAATTATCACCTGCCGACAAAGACAAAGGAGATATACGTTTACACATACACACATTGTGAACACTACCTGATTGTGCAAGACCTGTTTTAAAAATCCCCAATAACTATTACAGTCAACTCTGCCTGTCTCTAACTAAATAGTTCATAAACCACAGAATAGATTTTAATGAAACTCTCAGAACACAATCATTAGATGTACAGTACCTCTTCAACTTCAACTTTTGAAGTCAAACCAATTCAAGATGGCCACAACATTTAATCCAACTTAGACAACACAGTCAGTCAGTTTTACAGATATTGAGCTAAAATTTAGGATGGTCGTAGCGGAGCGTCATCCCCAGTACTTACTCAAAGCACTACGCTGTATGCAGTATTTTTTGTACATCTACAACTCTTTAACTTTTGTAGTATAGTAGTCCCTCGCTACTTTGCGGTTCGTTTATCGCAGACTCGCTCTATCGCAGTTTTTCTAAATAAGATTGGACATGACACACAATTGGCTGATTGATGGATGAGCCGCACGATCGGTATGAAATTTTTATTTTAAATTATTTAGCACCTGCTGCACAAAAGCTTCTTCCTGTAGCTTTTTGCAGCTCATACTGCAGGACAAACTTCCTGCTGCAGCTGAACAGCTGTTAAGCGGAGAAGTGGGCGTGGCCAAGAGCAATTGCAGGTGGCAAAGAGCAGATCAAATCATGCCATTCTGTGCTCTTTTACAGCTTTTAGAGTTTAGAAACATTGTTTAAAATATTGCAAGAGTATGGGAAGGGTTTAAAACACCTTTATATATATATATATATATATATATATATATATATATATATATAT